CTCTGACCTCGTCCAGAAGCAGAACACTCTGCTCAGCCTAGGCTTCAAAATGTAGATAGATATATCAATTCAGTATCTTTTTATCGGGCATGAACCTGGCGTGTACGCACGTATTATTGAAAAAAAAAATTAAAGCGTGAATAAACACCTCAGGTGACAGTTACGCCCACAAGGCGCAGCTGAGCCTTCACAGAGGTGGTGCAGACAGCTCCATAGATAAAAAATGAGAGTGCATCTGTTGCATGACGTGCAAATAAACAACGTGTCAGATACGCTTGTGGTCTAGACATGGGGTTACCCATGACAACTTTCTCTGCACAGGGTCACAAAGATGGTACCGTGTCCACAGAAGCAACTGTAGGCCTGGACTACATTAAGAATCAGGTCACCTTTATCAGGTTGTTACAAAATCAGATGCAATCCAAACTAAATACTCTGTGCTATGTCAATATATATCACATCATTCACCTGGTACTTCTGTCATAAATTTAGCAGCTTGGAGGAGTCAGTGTTGGCTCAGTCAACATTTGGGATAATGACACATGAAAACAGAAAGAAAGCCAACTCACTGGTATTTATGGAAAAGAGGCAATTCAGCCAAAATAAAAAATGTTTCCATACTGGTGGAGACACATGTCCAACACACATGTATTTTCATCACTGCCGTCTCTTTTTACGGGTATAGAATATTTCAGTCTCTGATAGATGTGGGCATTTCTGCAAAGGCATAAATCACAAACGAGCAGCAGTTCAAGACAGAGTGTGATGGCCCTGAACAGAGTTTAAGATAAGAGCATTTTTAAGGACAAGCCTTTGTGGAATTTGGCAAATCACTTCACTGGAGTGGCTAGTGGTAATAAATAGGAGCGACAAGAACGCAGCAGCTGTCAAATAGGAGTCAAATGAGGAGCAGAGACAGAGAGAGGAAGTGAGAGGAAGACAGACAGCCGGGAAATTCAGTTCAGTTCATTTATTGGTTTCCTTAGAGAAATTTGACTTGGAGAATAAGAGGAGACAGCCAATAGTGAGACATCTGCCGCTGATGGCTGCCGTCATATGAACCCGTGATTGAGAGCTAAAGCCTCATCGCCTTAAGAGGTTATATAACAGCAAAAGGTACTGCTGGGTGGACAGAGCTAATCCAAGGGTGTGTGTGTGGATGTGTGAGAGAGAGAGAGAGAGAGAGAGAGAGAGAGAGAGAGAGAGAGAGAGTGGGACAGAAAGAAGAGAAGGATAAAGCGAGAATAAAAAAAATAAAGGAGGGATAAAATATGTGTGTATGAGTAAATCTGCGAGTAAGAGAATTAGAGGGAGCTTTGTGTGTGTGTATATGTGCTGGTGTGTGTGTGTGTGTGTGTGTGTCCTGGCCATGCAGAAATGATGACCCCAGTATTTCTGTGGCCCAGAGGTGCCTCAAGGTATCTTTTATTAACCGGGTCCGGCTGAGCTTGACCCATTTGAGATTAGGTTGCATGTGAGTGTGTGTTTGCAAACAAATATGTGTGTTTAACCACACTTATCTGCTTGTGTGTGCGCGAGCCAGCAGTGTGTGTCTGTCCACATGTGCATGTACGTGTGTCTGTGAGCTAAAATCTAGGAGCAGTTTCACATCTCCAAACTGTGCCTGTCATCAAAAACTGTAATTAAAAGTCAATGCGTCTATTTTTTCCCCCCCAGATTCTGTTTACCCCCCTGCTATCTCTTCCATGCTGGCTTCCCATCGTGTAAACACGCCTGTTTTTAATCTACAGCCAGCGGTCCAGATAGGTAAAAACTCATTTCATTACCCAGCGAGAGGGAGGAGGACAGCAGGAGCTACTTTCACACACAAACACTCCAGTCTTACCTTTTCTGTTTATCCTCTGTTTATCATATTTTGCCTGCTGAAGACAAATAGCATTTTTTGTGTGCGATGAGGAAGAGGAGTTAGGGCGGGGAGGTGTGAAGGATCTTGGGCTGGTGTTTATTAGCCAAGATCTAAAGAAAGCTCATCTTTATCCCGGCGGATGTTTCATATAGAGTTTTTCTGAAAGGTGTAAGTGCGAGCAAGAAACTCATTAAAAGTTTTATTTTCTTAAATTACACTGAAAGGTGAAAATACGTTTATGGAAATAAATGTTTCTTCAGTTTGTTGTGGACAGTTAAACACAGTTAAAGGGGAAATTTCGGTTTATTTCAACCTGTCTCCTATCGTCCTAAATTTGTTTCAAGTGACTTGTGACATAAAAATAATAGTTAGCATGTTAGCAGTTAGCCTAGATACAGCCGGGGCGCATAGCACCGTCAGACCTGTTAAAACGTAAGTGAACGGGCAACCTTCAAGTGCAAAGTTAGTCCACTAAACAAGCTTTTTCTCCACAAAGACCGCCTCATATCGTTAGGATAAATGTCAGAGAACATATAGAAAACGACATGTAAACGTGTTGTCTTACCTTACCGGTGTGCTGCCATGTTTGTTTACCGTTTAGCTCTGCTCTGCTTTCCAAAGCGCAAAAAATCAAAAATGTGTTTTTCCTTCTACCTGTAGTGCTGTTTATTGGTCTAGATTGTTTTGGTGGGCCTTCCCAAGATATCAGCCATAGAGATGTCTGCCTTCTCTCCAATATAATTGAACTAAATGGCACTCAGCTTGTGGTGCTCAAAAAAATACATTTGAAAAACTCAACAGAAATGTCTCTTTCCAGAAATCATGACCTGGTTACTCAAGATAATCCACAGACCTTGTTGTGAACAGTTTCATGTAGGAACTACTTTCTTTCTACCGAACTACACCTACTTAAAATATCAGCATGCAGAATGCATCTATCCATGGACGAGAGGCTCATGATTGTGACAGTGTGAGATGTAAACATTAATGGCATCCTCCTACGTCACGTTACCTAGCTCACAGGTGCTAGGTGAGCTGGCAGTAGATGCACGCTTCTTTTTGCCCTGTAATACGGTTATAAATACACATTCCAACTCCAACCGTCACATATCGACGAAATCTGGTTATATTCTGCAGTAAGCAAGCCAGCATGCTTTTCTGGCTGCTCTGACCCACAATCCTCTGCGCAGCGGTCGATTCGTCACATCGTCTGAGCCGCAGACAGACAACAGCTTGTCAGCTCGTTGACAGCTGATTGACAGCTGTCAGAAGTGGCAGTGACAGACGACAGTGCATTCAAGTTGCTGATGATCAGTGGAATAGTAATAATAACAATATTAATTGTTTAAATGAACATGCATCGCAAAGTAACAACAGCAGAGCTCTCTGGGTTAACCTCTGTCTTTGGCGAGCTTGGTGAACGGTGTTTTGTTTTATCTCCAAGGTAACAGACATATGAACAAGTTCAGGGCGTAATGTTATGAGACAGTAGCGTGTCCCAATCGTGTGCATACTGTGTGCAACAGTGTGCACTTTTTTAGGGCAGCTGCAGCTCCTGCTAAAAGTAAAAAGGAAAAGTATGTGATTCAGAACGCACCCCTATTTTTATGTTTATCTATAAGTATGAACATAGTGTAATATCTCATAATATAATATTCTCCCCAAGGTACTTAAACTCCCTTGCAAAGCTTTCAATTTACTGGTCCATCTACGTCCCAACCCTCACCTATGGTCATGAGCTCTGAGTAGTGACTGAAAGAATGAGATCGCGGATACAAGCGGTGGAAAATAGTTTCCTCTGTGGGGTGTCTGGGCTCAGCCTTAGAGAAAGGGTGAGGAGCTTGGACATCCGGAGAGAGCTCGGAGTAGAGCTGCTGCTCCTTCGCGTCGAAAGGGGTCAGATGAGGTGGCCTGGGCATCTGTTCAGGATGCCTCCTGGGTGCGTCCCGCTGGAGGTGTCCCGGGCACATCCAACTGGTAGGAGGCAGGCCCAGAACACACTGGAGGGATTACATATCTCGTCTGGCCTGGGAAAGCCTTGGGGTCCCCCAGGAGGAGCTGGAAAGAGTTGCTGGGGAGAGGGACGTCTGGGGTGCTTTGCTTGGCCTGCTGCCCCCGCAACCCGGCCCCGGATAAGCGGATGAAAATGGATGGATGGATTGATGGATAATATTCTCCTCTTATATTAGAAATTTTTTCAGTCAAGAACCAGATATTTCCTAAAACATGTGCACACTTTGTACTTTTGATCCAACTGGGTTTACATCCATCTTAGACTTTAAGTGCTCCACCTGTCAGTAACCTCAGTATGTGCACTAGAAAATAAACATACTCTATTGTGATTTATTTGCTGGCAGCTGATTGGCCAACTGCAGCAGCTGCTATAATTTCAATTATAGTAGGTGATAAAAGCGTTTAAGTTTAAATCCTGCCATCTGGTCTGATGGGACCGATTTTAGTGACTTTTTTTTAGTTTTTTAGGAGTGAATTCCAACAACATTCATTCAAATACTTAGAATCAAAGGCGTCTCCACCAGAAATATGGAAAGATGATTTTTTTTTTTTTTTGGGACCATTTACATGTGAACAAATCTAGGCCAGTCAATCACTCCTGTAATGACCGAACCTATCTTTGTTCCATGCTACAAAGAGAACCTGCTTTGTGTCCATATGTTTCTGCAGAGAACAGTGGGACAAAATGCTGAATTATTTCATTTAACACACAGTCAAAACGGTGACTTTTACCCCAGCATGCAGCCCTGCAGATCATTTCAGACCCGACAGTTCAAAAGAAACAGACTGCAGGGCTTTTAAGTAAAAGATATCAATCTGAGAACATCTATTTTACAAAGATGGTTGGCATTTCTCATGAATAATGCAGGTTATTGGAGCTACAGACTGGTTATGTCTCTCTGTGCGTGATCATGCAAAGCTCAGCAGGGCAGAGCAAGGTACTAACTCTGCCAGAGTTGGTGGTTCTATTCCCACCGGGGCCACTCAAGCTAAAAATACAAGCACTCATGGCAGCGTATTTGATGAAAGCTCCCCACAAATGGCAAAGAAATATGCATGCCTCCGTCCACACACCCAAACACAGAAACACACATTTACATACACACACTGGCTGACTTACTGAGGCACTCTCCAGTGGCAGCGTTGAGGAAAAGCCCCTCTTGGCAGCTCGTCCTGCAGTAGCCGTTCTGTAGGGAGGCCAGCAGGGGGCAGGAGGTGCAGTCGGCCTGGGAGGGACCAGAGCAGGTCTGGCAGGACGGGTGGCATGCTGGGAGGTGAAGGACAGAGGGAGAGGAGGGAAGAGAGAAGAGCCAAAATCAGACATAAATTAAGTTAAAGTGGTGACAAAAGTGTGATGGGGAGGGAATAAAAAATGTAGGAGTAGAGTGGGGGAAAATACGTAAAGAGAGGAGAGGAAGAAGCAGGGAAGAGGAAGTTGGAGAACGTAAAAGAGGACAAAGAGAAGAAGCAGTAAAATGACAAACAGATTAGAGGAGAGAAGTTAAGAAAAGGTGACAATATGAGGACAGAGAGAGAGAGGGGGAAAAAACAGGATATAAACACATGATTCATAATGGAGGTTTTCATTAAGTACTGCTCAAGTGTTATCAACTGCGTCAAGCACATTTTAAGCTGTGGAGCTGTTGCAAAAAACACATGGCCATTAGGTACAGTGACAGCCATATTTGATATTAACATCTAAAAAAAAGTACATGGCAATACTCTAATGCATTAACTAATGGCCGTATGACCGTAAATGATTAAAGTTAGAAAGCAGGAACAATATTTACAGCAGACTGAGAGGAAACTGTTACACAACCGTTTGGTCAGGGTTGTTATTCAGTCAGTTCCTGTCACTATTTACCACCATGTTCTTTACCGAGAAAAACTCTCCTGTAGGAAGAGTAAAAGTCTAACTATCAAACCCATTTAACCAAATCCTGACTTTCTTGTTATACAGATGATGACGTTCTATATATTTGTAAGGGTCCCAGCTGTCACTTAAAACAGTATTTTTTTGCGGTCCCATCACAGGTTATCACAGTTTGTTGTGTTACACTAAAAATACGTTAAGTTTCATTCAGTGACATCATAAGTTTCTCTCTTTCTGTGTGTTTGTACTCAAAGGAGCAACTGATCTTGCTCATTGTTTTGCTCCCCGGCTGGTTGAAAGATCAGGAGTCGCTGGATAAAAGACATCAGGTAAAGGAGCTAGATGAGAAATGTAGCTCACTGAGCAGTGAGTACTAAATGGTACAATGACAAGCCTACAAAAAAAACGGCAACTTTATTGACTGTAAAATTATCTTTTAAATTGACAGTCATCTTATGTGTAATTCATGGCACAATTCAAACAGTATCAAAACATAATTTGTCTCTTGTCGTTGAGTAATGTACACATTTTTTTCTGCAGTGAGGTTCCATGGAGGACACCAGAAAGGAATGGACTTCGTCTCTTCTTCTTTCGGCTGTTCCCTTTAGGGGTCACCACAGCTAATCATCTGCCTCCATCTAACCCTACCCTCTGCATCCTCTTCTCTCACACCAACTGACTTCATGTCCTAGTTCACTACATCCATAAATCTCCTCCTTGGTCTTCCTCTAGGCCTCTTGCCTGGCAGTTCCAACCTCAGCATCCTTCTACCGATATATTCACTCCTATCCCTCCTCTGAACATGTCCAAACCATCTCAGTCTCCAAAACATCTAACATGAGCTGTCCCTCTGATGTCCTCATTCCTGATCCTATCCATCCTTCATCACTCCCAAAGAGAACCTCAACATCTTCATCTCTGCTACCTGCACCTCTGCCTCCTGTCTCTTCCTCAGTGCCACTGTCTCTAAACCAAACAACATCACTGCTCTCACTGTGTTGTTCACCTTTCCTTTTAATCTTGCTGCTACTCTTCTATCACGCATCACACCTGACACATTTCTCCACCTGTTCCAACCTGCTTGCACACGTTTCTCTCCGTTGCTCTGGACTGTTGACCCTAAGTACTTAAAATCCTCCATCTTCTTTATTTCTACTCCCCATAACACTTGGGTCCTTCTCATTTATACACATGTATTCTGTCTTGCTCTATAAAGGCAATAAAGCGCGCAAAATTAAGTGAAGTTTGAAGATGCTACACCTGCACATTAATCCTCATCACCATCCCTGTGCTGTGTTTGTGTTTACCTGATGAATGTAAGTCGGATATTCTCTTTCCATTGCAAGGTTCCCACACATTTTTACCAATAAAATTTCAAAACTTTTCCATAACTTTTCCAAGATATTTCACTTTATTTTCATGACTTAATTTAAGTAGTTTCTAATTAAGCACCTCTTTGGCAATTGCCAATAAACAAATGCTTGCTCTTGCTAATGCTACTTGCTCGTTAGACATTTCCTCTGCCAACTAGCTGCAAATGTATATCGACCAGACCAGCACATACTGGAACTTTGCAAGACATAGAGGCCACGCCCCTTTGGGGGGATCGTAAACCAAGATCCTGAGATGTCAGGACATGTCTTTGGATTATAATTTTGACAAGTTTGTATGCATTTATTTCTTTTCAAACAAATCATTGTTTTATTTACATGTCTAATTAATATTCGGTCAAGGAGCACTGAGCTAGATTTTAAATAAGTGATTCAAGGAACATATTTTGCGTAACTCTAAATATGTTTTTAACTATAGCTTTTGTTGTTTTTATTTTTCACAGTAGCCAAAACATTTTATATTCAATTTTTTTTTATGAATGTTTGTTATTTTCAAACCATTTTGAAGCCTGAAAAACAGTTTTTCTAATTTCATAACTTTTAGAGGAATTTCATGACCATGGAAACCCTCTGATTTAGCTCTGGTTTGGTCTGCAGCTACTGAGAAAAATGTCCGGCTCCTTCACTCCTAGATGTCCTTCTTTTCACCAGCTAGTCTCTACCTGTGTCTGCTCTTCAGCGCTGGAGCGGTAGTGTACTGTACAGTGGGTTTATCAGAGCTTGTTTGCTTGTCAGCTGGTTGGAAACAGCTTCCTGCTGCTGCTGGAAACAGGGCTGAGAAAAAACGCTGAGACTGAACCATACAGACACATAAATGTGCCATAAAACAAAAAACTATTAAATAAAAGAGTTTAAAAAGCTCCAAAGAGCTGCAGAGTTGATGATAATTCTTTGTGGCTTTGTCATTACGTGCCACCCCTCTCACATTACTCATAGTCATTTGATTCATAGCCGTTATAAAGAAAAAAAAAATCGATTAAAGGAGCGCTGTGTCTTATTGCCGAGCATAAAAAGTCACCAGCACCAAAACTTTGTGGTGGAAGTTTACTCTCTTTGAGACAGAAATACAATACTTCTCCAGGGTATCTGGGTAGCTCCTAATGAGCCAATCAACAGTGAATGAGACGAGGCCAACTAAGCAAACAGACCCTATTTATTTTGATATCCCAGGGGGAAATGTAATCTGAGATCATTGTTCTTCGTTACAGTCTAGGTATCCATCTGCTCTTTCAATTACTCGGCCAGAGTTTGGAGGAAAAACAAAAACTATGTTGAAATTTAATTATGTTTACCAAAGGTTTTTGTTGTTCTCGCAATAAACAATGAAATTTGGTGAGTTTTGAAAAGACTAAAGCTGGTAGGTGGCAGATAGAGGAGGTCGTCTTGCTTTAAATGAGGTCAGAGACGGTGAACTGAGCTGGTGTAATGAACGGGAGATTAGCAAATGGATTTTCATTAACAAGGTGGGTAATAAAGAGAGGGGGGAGGGGGGTACACAGGCTGGGGAGCTCCGCTAAGGTCTTCTCAGTAGTTAACACCATGTAGTAGCTATCATCGGTGTCGTAATGTAACCATGTACCTTTACTCAGGTACTGTAGTTGAGTACAATTTTGACATATGATATAATGCTTTATACTTCTACTCCACTACATCTCAGAGGGAGGAAAATTATTTATCTAGCACTTTTAGTTTATTTTTTCATTAAAAAAAACATTTGATATGCCTATATAATATGATGCAGTAGTATACTACTAATCTTTATTTATTTTAAGATATTGTTTTTGGCCATTTTGCCTTTAATGAACAGGACAGGTAAGAATAAAGGGCGGAGAGAGAGGACTACTAGTACTACTAGTAAACTGTCTCCACATCAAAGAACTACAACATGCTATAATATACTATGCTGTGTATATACTATACACTATAATATTCTGTAATAATATAATATTGTGAGAGCAGCCATTTTGCATAGTGAGTAATTTTACTTTTGATACTTCAAGTGCACTTTGCTGATAATGCTTCTGCACTAGGTTGCACCATTTCAGCTTATCCACATACAACAGTTCCTGTGATATCCCACAAATTAGCGCCCCATGAATGACGTTACAGCCTTCACGTAAAGTCAGGTTTAGGCGATTAAAGTTACTGTGGTTCGGTTTTGGGAAAAGAAACATGGTGAGGGTGTACCTTATAATGACTCAAAGTTCACTCAAAGTTCCGAACACCTGTCTCTTAGGGAGAGTCCTGTGGGAAGGTCTTAAGTTTTAAGACCCATCCACCACCCCAACCTGCCTCTTTATTGGACTGCTCGAGACCACCTCATGTTTATACCCATCAGCTCATCGGTCACATGATCGCAGCCTTCCAATGTGGGTTACGCACAAATTACTGGCTCATAATTAAGTTATATACGTACAAATTTGGGTTGTAGGAAAGTTTATTTTCCTCTCAAAAGGCTGACTCCCATTAACCAACAACTGACAGGTTAATTTTAAGAAGAAAAAAAAAAAAAAGACTTGAAATACAAGAGGCCTTTCCTTTTCCACCACTCCCTTGACTCAGTGGGGTTTAGCACTAACTAGCTAGCTGGTAATGCTGTCACAGTGTAACACGTTGCTGCAGAAACATGCCCATCCTCCAGTCTCCCCACAGGTTGCCTCTGTGAGTGAGCAGCTTTATTTTGAAACACAAAACCCCTTCAGCATAATTAACAACATTAGCACCATTGACTGTGCTGATACTGTTAATGGTGGTAACACTGTTGACAGTGCTAAAGGGGGTTTCAGGCTCAAACCTGAGCCGCTTACTCAGTGGGAAAGCTAGGGAAAGACTGGAGGGTGGGCATAAAGTCTCCACAACAACGACATGGTGTATTAAGGTACGGCATTATTAGTGGTAATGGCTGATTTAGCAACATCGCTAGCTGCCTAGCTCCTAACAGAAGTGGGCTGTGCGCAGATCAGTAAAATGAAGAGCAGCAAAATTAACTTATAAAACAACCTG